CTTTTCTTCTTATTCAAGTGTATCATACATGGAGAATAATATATATTTATAAGTAGAGAAATCACTTCAAAGGCCACCATGATAAATACCAAATTAGATACATTGTTATCCCAAAAAGGTTCATATCACCTTGGGAACACACAAACACGAATGTTAGTTCATGAATAAACTAAATGGACAATCTACTAACTATTCAATGGATTTATAACAAATTTTTAATTATGCTAATTTATTTCAATATAGAACACCATGAGTTGATTTACTTAATTAGTATTTCTCACTGTTATTTGTTCAAAAGATAAAGTTTATCCTTTTATGAATAATTTGTTACATGAATTCAAAAAAATAAACTATCATAATTTTTAAAGAAGTTGATAATAATCTCTCTCTCTCTCTCTCTCTCTCTCTATATATATATATATATATATATATTTATAAAGCTGAATATAGAAAAGTTGATGTGGCATCTCTCTCCGGCCACCATTTCATTTTATCTTTTTCCTCAATTTTTTGTTTTTTTAAATTTATTTCCTAATATAATAATCTAGTAAATACCTCCAATGTATCTATTAACCTACAATTAAAGAGGATAATGAAAGTTTTAACATAAAGAATATATTTATTGTTGCAATAGAAAATGAACTGTTATAACAGTTTTGTAATCAACCAATTAAAAAAGTATAAAAAAATATGTAGGAGATCACATAATCTGTAAGTAACTTGACAAAAAGGAAGAATCATTGGAACATAAGATTTACCACTTCAGGAAAATTAATTTTTTGAAAAGTTTTACTACCTTAGATAGATCAAATTTTTGCTTTGTTTGTACAAATAAAACTAGGCTGGAGAGCACATATTCTGAAGGTAAATTGACAAAATGGAAGAATTATTGCAAGAGCAGATTTACTCCTTCAGGTAAATTCAATTTTTGTTTTATTTGTGTAAATAAACATTATGCAGGAGATGAAATCAAGAACTCATAGCAAGAGATATTTTACTAACTCAAATTAAAAAAAATGATTTGTTTGTATGAATGAATTCGTTAGAATATACCTGTGTAGATTTGATCATTTTATGCCAACAAGAATTATAACAAGCGGATCTAGCAAAATAAGAATGAAATCCTATTTAAAACTTCAATATACTTGAAGATCGAAAAACATCAAAATGTCTTCTAACATTCAACTTGTGAACCATGGAAATGATGCCACCATGAAATATTAATTCTCTCATTCTATTCTTTTTGATTTACAAATAACGACAAAGCTCTCTGAAAGCTAATTTAGAGATGAGGAGTAGAGATCTCCTAATAAACAAAAAATTCGTCAACTCCTTCACTTTGTCTCTTTTTCTAATGATGATGGAATGTTATCTCTTCATGAAAAGAGAAAGAGACAGTATTTTAAGATTCTTTCAAAGATATTGATCTAAGAAGAAAAATCATGTAATAATCATTTTTCTTTAAAATAAAAGACTTTTGAAAGGATTTTGCGCTATAATTCCTTCTACAAGAAAATATATATTGAGAAGAAAAGAATCATTTTGATTGAGAAACTTACAGAAAGAATGATAAGTGGTTCAAGGGTAAGAAGAATTATTTAGAGAGAGAACCAATTTATTTCTGAAATTCCTATTAAATTAGGAAGGAATAAGGAAAAAATAAGGAGAAATGTATATTCTAATTCCTTTTTCTTCCCTTAAAAACGTCTTTTTATTCCCCCTCCCTTAAAAACGCTTTTTGTTTAATTTTTCCTTATTTATCTTTAATTAAGTTTGTTTTATTTTTTTTATATATTTTCAATTAAAGTCTGTTTTATTTTCTTTTATATATTGTCAATTGAAGTTTTTTTATTTTCTTTTATATATCTTTAATTAAAGTTTATTTATTAAAATTATATATATATATATATATATATATATATATATATATATATATATATATATATATGACATGACATTTTTTAGGCCTGAAATTTTATTTATATTTTTGTAGTTTTTTTGTTTTTAAATTTTATATTATTTTTTTAAATTCTAAAAGACTAAAAATTTCACTTTCAAATTTTATTGAATATCAAAGTGACCATATTTAATTCCATTCATCATATTCTATTTATTTTTTACTTCCTTACCTTAATTTGATCATTACTCTCATTTATATCATTTCCTTAAATCATTTTTTTTTACTTTTTTTTGTTTTTAAATTTAGTTATCTATAAAGTATTGAAATGATATGGAAAGTTATAAAAAAATTGATTCTCGTTTCTGATAAAAAATAATAATATGATAGTTTGAAAAAGAATGAGAAGGCAAGGAATGAAATTGAGAAAAAGTAAAAGGAAGGAAAAGAAAAAAAAAAGGAAAAAATAATAATTAAAAATACTACCATAAAAGAAAACACAAAAAAGGAAAGGGAGTTATACGCTACTCTTTGATTTATTTTGTTTTACTAATTACATCATTATCTTTCTATTTTTTATTTAACATTAAAATAGAAAAAAATTTATAAAAATATATAAACGAAACTTTCTAAGAATACTTTTATTTTTATTCACATAGCACATAAATAAAAAAATATTTTATAAAATCAAGAATAGGAGAGAAAAAATTAATTATAATTCTTGATCAAAGAAATATTTTTCATATAAATTTTACAGATAAAAAAATTAAGAAAGAATAGAAATTTCATAAACAATATTAAATTATGATAATAAGAAAGAGAGATGAATAAAAAAAAAAATCTTGGGAAACTTTAAAAATAAAAGGTAGAAAGAAAAAGTAATAAATTGTAATAATGTGAGGAGAGAGATAAATAAAATATTTTATTATTTTTAATTTTTAAATAACTTTTTAGATTAAAAGATAAATAATTGTAAAGAAGAAAATTTTCGTGAATAATAATAAGAATAAATTACGATGATAACGAGGAGAGATAATAAAATTTTCATTTTTAAAAAACTATAAAAATAGAAGGTAAGAAAATGATTTTAAAATAATAATAAATTATAGTAATAATGAGGAGAGATGAAAAACAATAAATTGTATTAATGGCAAGAACATAGATAAACAAGGTAAATATATTTATCATAATCATAATATAAAGGTGTGTACTATAAATATGTTAAACAATTACTACTAATTAAGATACTATTTATCACTTCTTTTGAGTTTTTAAACATAAATATAAATAAGAAAAAACAATAAAAGTCAAGAAAAGGAGAAAAAGGATAATTTAAATTCTTGGTCAATATATATATATATATATATATATCAAGAGAAAAATTTAAAAGAAAAGAAAAGGATTTATTTAAATAATATTAATAATAATAATAAATTAATAATAGTGATAATAAGGAGAAGAAATAAATAAGATTTACTTTAGACAACAAAAAGGGAATTAAAAAAAATGTTTTATAGCAACGAGAAAAAACAAAAAAGTAATTATAATAAATTGTACCAATAATGCAGAGAACGATAAATAAAATATTTAAGATCTATTTTTTTAAAAAGAAATTATAAATCAAAGGAAAGAAAACAATTAAGGAAAAAGAGAATTTTTTAAGAATAATTAATTATGATAATAATGAGGAGAGATCAACAAGAATTTTTATTTTTAAAAACTATAAAAATAGAAGGTGGAAAAAAGTAAATTGTAGTAGTAGTAATAATGAGGAGAGGTGAAAAATATTTACTATTTAATAAATTGTAATAATGGTGAGGAGAGAAATAAATAAAATATTTTATTTTATTTTTGTAGATTTTATAAATCAAAAGATAGTAAAAAATTTCAAAAAAGAAGAAAGAAGATAAATGATAATCCTGACCAAAGTGAGGTTCTACGTCAGTCTTTTATCTTCCACCTTTATATTTTCCTAAATTGAGATATCAATCTTCAATTATAGTACTTAATAATGATTAATAAACAAATTAATGTTTGTGCGTAATTGCAATACAAATTTAAAATATTTCTTTTATCTTGTGTTGCAATTTATTTCAATTTTCTACATTGAATAGATGAATTTTCGATGAATATTATGTATGATAAATATTTAAAAGTTATATTTTTTATACAAAATTTACTTCTACGACTTCGCTACAATAAACCTTTAGCCTAATGACCATTTGTGTTCTTTTCATTTTGTTCAAAAAATCAAACACATCATATAATGTATTTAATACTGTATGATCCATTTTTTTCAAGTGCATCAACAATTCAACAAAACGATTATGATTCAATTAAAAAATATATTTATTATTTTAAAGGGATAAGAGTCTGAAAAATATCCTAACTTTGGTCGAATTTGCTGTTGCGATACTAAACTTTCATGAGGACCTATTACCTCCCTAGACTATTTAATACCGTATTTTTTACCCCTTAAACTATTTAATAGTGTATTTTAAAGCTATATATGTGCCCACGTGGACACATTACTATTTATAATTTTGCATTATTTTTTATGTCCACGTGGGCAAATATATATGTTTAAAATACGGTATTAAATAGTCTAGGGAGGTAATAGGTCCTTATGAAAGTTTAGTATTACAACAACAAATTCGACCAAAGTTGAAATATTTTTCAAACCCTTATCCTTATTTTAAATTACGATTCTAATCAATAGCAAAAAAAAATTCACACTATATTGAATTATTTCAACAATTATTATTACATTGCTTAAATTGTATTTAATAATAACTAGAACTTAAAACTTAAATCTATTTGAATTTGAAAATTAGAAATGATTTATTTAAATATTTTTAACTATTTTTTTCTCATCGCGCGAAGCACGAACATTTTCACTAGTAAGAATAATAATAGGATATAATGAGCATTTAATTAGGATTTAAAAAAAAGCTTGGAGGAGAGTATCCTATTTTATTTGGTAATTACTTAATTGATGTGTTAAAAAAATAATTTTGTGAAGGGATGACCTAAAGAGAAGGAGAAATTATAAATAAAAAAACCCTCACATGACAGTAATTAATAGTTTTGGAAAGTATTAAAGTGAAAATAGAAAGGAAAACGGTGTAATTGGAGAAAAGGAAGAAGATGGGTTGCTTCGATTGCTTCGATGGAGGCAGCAAAAGAGAACAAAGGAGAGAAGAAGAACAATTAGCCTCCGAAGAAGCTCGTGCGAGAGCTGCCGAAGCCGCCCAAAAAAGGCAAATATCTTCTTTGCCCTATCAATTTGTTTTCATTTCTTATGCATATACTGGATTCATGTAATCAATTTTAATTTAGTTTGATCTAGCAGAATAAACATATGATATGGGCTAAAAATCACCTTTAAGTTTTCGCTTTACCACATATAAATGAACTACAAATTTGCTCGTAGTAATACTCCCTTCATTTAGTTGACGATAAGGACGAAGATGGACATAGACCCCAATCACCAATATTGAAGACCACAACCCTGCGATCCTTGTCTGCGTTAATCTTTATACGCTCTTGGGTTTGCAAGAAATTGGCCTTCAAAATAGCTAAGACTTCTATCTTGTTGGAGAAAAGAGGCACACACAACAATATTAGTTGAACCATCCTGGAAAAATATGGAAACAATTGGAGGGGCACGACCATAAACTACTTCAAATGAAGTTAACTTAGAGCTGTGTTGGTATGACATATTATACCAAAATTCCTCCCAAGATAACAGGGAAAATCAAGTGGGTGGGAGTATAAGGAGCAATGCACCGAAGATACATCTCTAAACACTTACTAATACCCCCGGTTTGGCCATCTGAATGGGTAATACGGTGAACTCAAAGCAAGCCATGTCCCTTGGAGTCTGTGCAGTTCTCGTCAAAATTCAGAGAGAAATAAGGGGATCATGATCACAAACAATGGTGACAAGGAATCCAGGTAAATAAACAAATTCCTGAACAAACACCATAACAACTTTTTGTCTATTAAATTTGGCCGGCAGGGCAATAAAGTGGCCATATTTGGAGAGACAATCTATAATCAGCAATATAACAACACGATGTTGCGATAGAGGAAGTCCAGTTATGAAATCCATTGAAATATCTTCAAAAATAACATTTGGAATGGGCAATGGGGGATAACAAACCAGTAGGTTTCAAGGTCGAGTCTTTCATTTGTTGATAGGTTTGACACTCCAAGACAAACTTTTGTACATCGGCGCACATTCCCGTCCAATGGAAATTGGAAAAAAGACGATGAAATGTGCGCGAGACATCCGCATGACCCATGACCCATGACCCCCAACTTTGAAATAGTAGAACTCAGCAAGCAACAAGGATCGAAGGTTAGCATCTTGAGGAATAACCAATTGCTTCGAAATACAAGCAGTCCTTCTTGAAAAGAAAAATGCAGCAGAGAAGTGGAATGCAAATTCAAGAATCAAGAGTTGTTGTAATGTAATTAATCCTTCATCAGTTTTGTTTAGGCACATAATTGGTCTAGCAAGGCCAATTCAGTGACGGCCAAAGTCAAAGTTTGAAGAACAAGAACTCGTGACAAGGCATCTATAGCAGAGTTAAGTTTTCCTGACTAATAGCGAATCTCAAAATTGTAGCCAACAAGTTTACTTAGCCAACATTGCTGCTCTAGAGTTTGTATTACTTGGCTGATGAGGGACTTTAAAGGGTTGTTTGTCAGTGATGATCAGAAAACGACGACCCACCAAATATTGTCGCCTTTTTTGAACGGTTCGAGTGATGACAAACATTTCCCTATTGTAGGTAGAAGAAACTTGCATCGTAATGGAAAGCTTTTGACTGAAAAATGCTATAGGATGACCCTCTTGGGATAGAACTGCTCCAATCCCTATGCCAGACACATCAGTTTCCACAGTAAATACTTTGGAAAATCTAGTAATGAGAGGACAGGGACAGAACTCAAAACCTCTTTAAGTTGAAGAATGTAGCTGATGTCGACTCAGTCCAAATAAAAGAGTCCTTCAACAAGTCTGCAAGAGGAGAAGCTAACTGTGCATAACCTTTGACACTCATAGATGGTCATAGCGCGTCAAGCCAAGAAAACCTCTAACCTCCATGAATGAGGTAGGCAAAGGCGAAGAACAGAAGAATGTCATATAAAAAAAACAACACGAATTGACGAAGGAATGTTTTAAAATAGAATTCATGGTGGATTGGAAAGTGGAGGGAGCATTTTACAGGCCAACTGGCATGACAGTGAATTCAGAAAGGCCGTCATAGGTGCGAAAAGCAGTTTTCTCGATGTCCGGTGAGTGAAGGCGAATTTGGTGATAACCAGCCAAAAGGTCCATTTTAGAGAAAAAAATAAGCATTGTGTAATTCATCTAATAATCATCAACTATTGGTATAGGATTGATAAACTGATATAGATTGATAAACTGACTTTCAGGCCACAAGAGGGGTTTGTTCCTCAAATTCTTGGAATAAAACAGAGCAAAAAAAGAGAAAACAACTAGAAAGAGGGAGGTTCTGGATCAACACTCTAAGGAACAAAAAGTAAGCAAGATCATTCACACCCTTTTCTCTGTGCCTTAGCCTATTTATGCTATTCTGTGTAAGGCTGAACTTGTCCCATTCTCTAGCGGCTTGGCAGAGGAGATATTCTTTTGGGATTTGGGTACACATAGTGGTTCGGATACTTTTGCAATTGCTTATCCCTCTTGCTACGTCTAAGGGTCTTTGACGTGTCCCGCTGATTTGTAAGTTGTAACAGTATCAAACTATAATCTTCCCCATTTTACCCTTAATGACACGCTTTTATAGCCACTGCAATCTCATGGAATGTTTAAGAACAAGCGGACAGAGTAAAAGTTTCCCTGCATCAAATCCATAGCAGATAATTCTTTTCAAAATGACAAAAAAGGAATTCAGTTACATTCATAAAGGGTCCTGTGTACAATGCATGAAATCCTCATTGGCTTATATCGTTGACAGATTTTCATGCATCTCTGTTACTTTCTTAATACCTGCTGTTTAGTCCTTGTAAATTTTATAGGTCTGATTTGGTTAACAACTTCTGTGCCCAAGAGGAGTTTTGGAATGATATGTAACATACACAATTTCTGTGATGGCTTTAGAAGAAGAATGAGGGAGATACCAAGGTTCACGAAAAGTGGAGGGAGATTATGATTTCTGTTCAAGAGGGATGGATTTCAAATAATTTCCACGGTTTTAGAGAAGAGGAAAGACTTTCTTACCTCAAATATGCTTCTTCACTTGTATCTTCACGTAGTAATTAATGGTAAGGGACTTCACCACTTTAAGAAAATTAAAGTGATAAATGGAGGAAGAACAAAGAGGAAGTGAAAAAATGGTTGGTAAAGTCAGAGAATATTGAGTTTGTTTGGTTCTTTGAGGACTGAGGAGAGAGTGGAAGAGAATGTTTCTTCTTTTCTTCAACTTCAAATAAATTTGCATCCAAGGAAGCAAAATTAGTTTTTCCGCTCTCTCTCTCTCTCTCTCTATATATATATATATAGTTTTAAAAGCATAATAGATGATGATCCACTTCTTCCTCCTTTCTCATGTTCCCAAACACAGTACCAATAAGGGCTACAACAACAAACCCAATGCAATATCTCAAAGTAGGGTCTGGGGAGGGTAGAGTGTATGCAGACCTTACCACTACCTCTCCGAGGTATAGGGGTTGTTTCCAAAAAATACCATTAAGGGCTGAGAGGAAGAAAAGTTGAGCCCTTTAGTTATACATAGAGCTCCTTTAGGCTTATAATACAATTAACTGATCTGTATAGGCAATATTTTAGCTTAGTACATTCTATCTGAATTACTAACCATGTGAAGTTTATCAAGATTGATATCTGTATAACCATAATCTCAAAAATCTGAGCTCAAACACTTCATTAAAATATATATTGGCTCATGCATATAACATTAATGTCATTTTAACGAAGCACAGAAGGCATGATAATTATTTTGTGAAAAATACTATTAACTGATACATACCAAGACTGACACTCTCAGGCACGAATACCAAGATATGTCATAAACCATTTTAGAACCATCCTTTCCCTCCGGTGATCCTTACGGTCACCGGAAATAATCACTGTTTTATTTCTTTTCTCAAACCTTCTCTAGAAAATGGAAGATTGTATCTATTTTGCAGTTGGCTATAAGTCTTTTGATATCAACCGAATCACAGGGACATCAGGGGAGTGGTATGAATGGACAGAAAGGAGCAGAAAGGATATCACTAGAACTTCCTTCAGCAAGAGATCGATGATCTGGATCATGCAAGTACTGAGGGGAGCATCTAAGATGAAAGGGAATGTGGTCAAAAGGTGGAAGAAGACAGAATCTTTCTGAGATCTTCTGTGCCAGAAATTTTAACAAATTTGGGAGATATATCAGTTTAATAAATGTGAGGGGAAGAGGAAGGTCAGTCATAATCATCCTAGAACTTACTATTAACTCCGGCTAGGAGTTCATAGCAGAGAAGGTGGATAGATTCTTACTTACCCAGAAGATGGAGGAGAACAGAATTGAGCAGAGACTAGTGGATGACAAAATTCCCTACGCAGAAGCACTCAAAAGTGGCAAATGGATAAATAGGAGTGGCAGTGAAGTTAATGTGGAACCAACATTAATGGTGGAGGGTCCCATTCACATTGATGACAACATCAGCACAATAAGTGAAGTATTGAAACGGAGCTTGGTGGGTTTCTTTGAAGTGAGGGATGAGAACTACCCTACGTTGTCAGAAATTAGAAGATGGACAAGCAGCATCTGGAAAATCAATCATGGTTTAAACATTTACGAAATGGGGAAAGGAAGATTCCTCTTCGAATTCGCGAGCAGGAACACAGCAGAACATGTGATAATTGGAGACTGGACTCAAAATGAGACTTTTCTCCGGCTAGAATGGTGGAGTCCGGCATCAGGACTAGGGTGGTGGGTCTTCCTCTACACCTCTGGTCGGAAAAAGTTTTTAGGACCATCGGAAACCTTTGTGGTGGTTGGATCGAAACAGAGGAAGAGACAAAGCTTCGTAACCATCTCAAATGGGCAAGAATTCGTGTGCAAGGAGATGGTTCGAAAATCCCTAAAGAGGTGTCCATCAAAAGTGCCGGCATGATTTTTGTCTTACAGTTGTGGACTGAAACTCGGGTGAGGCTTTACACTGGAGAAGACAAAGGACCCAATCCTTCGGTCTAGCAGATTTCAGCTCTTTGCTCTCAGGATAATAAGGGGAAACCTGCAGCTGACAGTCTGAAGTCACATGCTTCTTTGGTCCAGCAGGTTCCAATTCTTTACCCTAAGGAAAATAAAGGAAAACCTGCAATTGACAGACTGTGAAGTCACATACTTCTGATTTCGCCAATACAAGTGGATTTAAAAATCTCTCAATACACAGGTGGGCCGGGTTCTGTTTGCAAATGAGACTGGGCCAATTTCTTCTGAAAATAAAAGCCCAATTTCAATTAAAGAAAATTCCAATGAAAAGCATAAGTGGGCAGGTGAGGAGCATGTGAGTCTTTTTAAAGACTTAAGCAATCTAAAACTGAAAGCTTATGATTTCCTCACGACATTCAGTGACTGGGAAAACAAAGTACAACAACTTGACACCTCTAGCACGCCAGAGGAGATCAGAATGGGAATTTCAAACATGCAAACGGAGGCAGTAGTCGACCTAAAATAAATTATCCACAGAAGATAGAGTTGATGATACAAGGGCTTGTGAATCGCAAGAAGCTGAAAGGGACTTACAAATCCAACCGATAATCGACGTAGAGCCTGTGAATATTCAATCACCCAACACCCAAGAAGTAGTGGAAACCGAAGCTTCAAATTGGGTTAACTCCCATATCTTAGAGCTGAGCAACACTTACGGGGTAGCTTTTGTAGGTTTTGAGAAAGAAACACTAGCTCTTCTTATGAGAATTGATGAAAGGAAAGCTGCTTTAGATAAAAAAAAAAGGCCCAGAGAAGACAACTACAACCCCAAAAAGTAGAGGAATTGGCAAGAATGAGTTAAGAAATCTGAAATCGAACTTGAATGAAGTGGTAGAAGGGGTCAGGAACAGGGGGAGAAATTTATCTTTGATTTATAAATGAAAGTCAAATTAACCACTTGGAATGTGAGGGGGCTCAATAGACACAGTAACAGAGTACTGATCAAAAGTTTATTTCAGAAGTGGAAGGCAGACATATATTGCTTGCAAGAAACAAAAGTACATATGGGAGTAGAAGACTTAGCCAAACAACTTTGGTCATGCAGATGGATGAAATGTGGGTATATGGAGGCAGAAGGAAGCAAAGGGGGAATCTTAATCATGTGGGACAGTAGAAACTGGAGGGGGACTCAAGTCGAGATGGGCCAACATTCCATAACCTATGAATTTGTCTCAACTCAAAACTCTTTCACCTGGTACTTAACAGGGGTGTATGCTCCAGATTCCAGAGAAGAGAAATTGGCTTGCTGGGAAGAGATATCTGCAGTTAAAGAATTATGTGGAGGACCTTGGGTGGCATGTGGTGATTTCAACACAATCAGAAGTATGGGGAAAGAAGAGGGTGCAATAGAATCACTAATGTAATGACTGATTTTACGAGTTGGATTGAAGAAATGGAACTGCATGATCCTCACATGAGTGGAGGAAAATTCACATGGTTCAGAGGAGTTAACCATCCTAGTGCGGCTAGACTCGATAGATTCTTGTTCTCTATGGAGTGGGAAGAGAGCTTTAAGAACATTAGACAAAAGCTGATGCCTAGAGCAGTGTCTGATCACAGCCCTGTCACTCTAGAATGTGGAGACTGGGAACATAAAAGATCAAACTTTAAGTTTGAAAATTGGTGGTTAAAAGTGGAGGGGTTCAAGGAATTGGTACATTCATGGTGGAATGAGTTCACTGTGGAAGGATGTCCAGATTACAAGCTAAATGTTAACTTAGAATGCTCAAACATAAGCTGAAAGATTGGAGCAAAACCAAGTTCAGGGAAATGACCAACAAAAAGAACAGTTTACTAGAAGAATTGGCAGGAATTGATCTGACAATGGAAAGCAGGGACTTGTCTGAGGAAGAAATGATGCTAAGAGCAATCATTGTAGTTGAATTGGAAAATATGGCTAAAAATGAGGAAGCAAAATGGAGACAGAAATCCAGAGTGTTGTGGTTGAAACAGGGTGACAACAACACAAAGTTTTTCCAAAGAATGGCAACTGCTCACAGAAGATTTAACACTATTGACAGATTAGTGGTTAGAGGAGAAGAAATTGTAAAGCCCGATGAAATCAAGACTGCTATGGTTGAGTTTTATAAAACACTTTACTTAGAATCAGAAAGTTGGAGGCCAGGTTTCGACATGATAGATTGCCCAACCATTTCACAAGAGGAACAAGATTGGCTTCAAAGACCTTTTTCTGAAGAAGAGGTGCTAATGTAATCAAGCAATGTGATGGAGTCAAAGCCCCGGGCCCAGATGGTTTGACAATGAGTTTCTTCGAAGTTTGTTGGGACACTGTGAAGTAGATCGGATCTACTGGGAACTGTTCATAACTTCCATCAGAAAGAGTTATTTGAAAAGTCTTTCAATGCCACCTTCATAGCCTTAATACCAAAGAAAGCTGGAGCTGAGGAGCTTAAGGATTTCAGACCTATCAATCTAATAGGAAGTGTCTACAAGATACTTTCCAAACTTATTATTGAAAGGTTGAAGTCTGTTATGGGGAAATTAGTAAATGAACATCAAATGGCATTTCTAAAAGGCAGGCAGATTATGGATGTGGCTCTCTTAGCAAATGAATTAGTGAATTCCAGAGAGACAAAAATTTCCAGGGATCTTATGCAAACTTGACCTAGAGAAGGCATATGACCATGTTAATTGAAGTTTCTACTGAAGGTGCTAGAAGACGTGGGTTTTGGTAAAAAATGGATCAACTGGATACGTTTCTGCATCTCTACTGTAAGGTTCTCTCTGATTATAAATGGCAATAATGAAGGCTTCTTTTCGTCTTAGAGGGGGTTGAGACAGGGTGATCCTATATCACCTTTTTTGTTTATCTTAGCTATGGAGGGGCTCAACCATATGATCAGGAGGGGAAGGGCAAATGGTTGGTTAAAGGGTTTCCAAGCTCAAGTGCAAGGACGTAGAGAAGATGAAAGGGGAGTCACACATCTGCTTTATGCAGATGACTCGCTAATATTTTGTGGAGCTGAAGTATCTTAGATTAGACATATTAGGGCTATCCTTACTATTTTTGAAGGCATTTCTGGACTGCATGTTAATTGGCAAAAGAGTTGTCTTTACCCAGTGAACAAAGTTGATAATATGGAGATATTAGCAACTAATCTTGGATGCTAGGTAGCTGCCTTACCCACAAAGTACCTAGGGATGCCCCTGGGTGCAAAGAACAAAGAGATAGAGGTTTGGAGAGAAGTGCTAGAGAGATGTGACAGGAGATTGGCAAGATGGAAGAGTCAGTATTTGTCCTTAGGTGGGAGATTAACACTAGTCAAATCTGTGTTGGATTCCCTTCCTTCCTATATGATGAGCCTATTTCCTATACTCTTTGTCACAAGAAGCAGGGGGGATTAGGTATCAAGAAACTCAACCTCCAAAACTCTTGTCTTTTGCAAAAATGGTTATGGAGGTTCTGTGCTGAAGATATGCCTTTATGGAAAAAAATCATCATTGAGAAATATGAACTTCAAAGCACTGGATCACTAAAGAAGTCCTTAGAACTTTTGGTTGTAGTGTCTGGAAGACTATTCGGAGACTTTGGCCCCAGTTTCAGAAAAATATTCAATTCAAGGTCGGTAATGGCGTGAAGATTGAGTTCTGGAATGAACTTTGGATAGGTGAAAGGAGCTTGAAATCTCTCTTTCCTGATCTGTTCCTCCTCAGTCAACAGAATAGGGCCACTATAGCTCAGATGTGGAGCATACAAGGTTGGAATTTCAACTTCAGAAGGGCACTAAATGATTAGGAGGTTCAAAGAGCTGCAAATTTTCTTATGGTGATAAATGATTTCAATGGAACTACCAATGCACCTGACAGACCAGTGTGGAAACTTCACAGCAAGGGTACGTTCACTGTGAAGTCATGCTATTGGTGGAGAAATACTGGCCAACTGCAGATTAGGAACTGGCCTTGGAAACTAATCTGGAAAGCCAAAGTCCCCTTAAAAGTTTCTTGTTTCGTGTGGTTAGTTTGCAGGAAAGCTTGTTTGACTTATGAAGTACTACAAAGAAGAGGTAGACAGATTTGCTCAAGATGTTTTATGTGTGACCAAGATGCTGAAATAAATAGCCATCTATTTCTACACTGTAAAACAGCTGCAAAGGAACGTGTTCTTGTGTATACTTGGAGTGAGTTGGGTGGCTCCCAAAACTACTAAAAGTATGATGGACTGCTGGAAAGAGATTGGAAGAAGAGAGTCAGAAGAGGACTGGTGGGAATTGATCCCTGCAAGCATCTGGTGGACATTGTGGAAGGAAAGGAATGCAAGAGGCTTTGAAGACAAAAGCAACAACATTCAAAAAATCAGAATGAATTGCCTTAGTCTTCTATATTTTTGGTGTAAACAGGATATGGTGGGGGATATAGAACTTTTTGATGATTTTATAGGGAAATTGTAAAGCTCCATAGACTAGTTCTTCTGGCCTTCTGTTTTTTGCCCTATGGGATGTAAGTGCTCACTCTTATCATTGCTTGGATGATGGAATTTTGTGAATACAGAGTTACTTGTTCCTCAAAAAAAAAAAGAAGGCATGAGATGTACCTCCCAGGAAAGATACTTAAATGTGACTAGGGATGCCTATTCTCATCCTAAGTACAAGCATATAAATATCTCACACTTGGTATTTGAACTTCTTAAGTTGATGAATCCATAACATTACATTCATATTATGCAGCTTCTAATTTCAAAAAAACTAAATATTATGCAGCTTCTTCTCACTTCATCAGTTTACTGCTACTGCTCTACCAGATCTAGAAAATAAAATGTTTGCTTGGCCTGAATTATCTATTGTTGTAACAGGCAAGAACAATATGAAAAATCTGCTGCAGGAAGAGCAGCACGTGCACAAATGGCAGCTGCTGCCAAGCAAGCAACGAATGCGAACCAAGGAGAACCAGTTCTTAAAGTACTTTCCTTCTTTCTAATTACTGATGGTCGCCGTTTTTTCTATTATATACTTAATATTTTTAATTGTATCTACTTCTCGTATTAGTTAAAAACAATACTCAAAGTTTTATTCCTCTATCATTGGCCCAAAATCTTTCTTTTGAGATTGATGCTTTACATGTCAAGTTTAAATACTCAAAGATATCTGAAAATAATACTTTGACCTTTGATCCGGTTTCAATTATCTGGATGCAGTGGCAGATGGGATGAGCATTAGCTCTCTTAGGTCAACTTCTTCCATTCATTGTAAGTATCATGACTAACCAAATTTCTAATATTCTTTTTCTCTTATTTCTTACTCCTTCCATTCCTTTTATGTGGCATTTCATTCCTTTTTAATTTGTTCCAAAAAAAATGACAACTTTCTATATTTGGAAACAATTTAACTTTAAACTTCTATCTTACTCTCAATGACAAACTTTTACAGCCATAGAGAAGTTGATAGCATGTTTAAGATCACAACTTCCAATAGTCATCATTTCTTTTTTAAACTCCGTGCGCAGTAATACCGACAGATAAAATAAAACCGAGGGAGTGTTTATATATAGTCTTGTGCATTTGACGATTGAAGCATACTTTTGCATGTGTGCACTAAAAGACTTTCGTTATGTCACTTAATGAATCATTATACCATGGTACATGTACATTAACTTTTAAAAAGTCTACCATCCAGACCTGCTAGTTCAATTTGGGATTATCAATGATGTGGATATTGAATGTAGAATCTTGAGGAGTAAGTAACATCTCAAGTGGAAATGCAATTAAGTATATTTTGGCCTGCCATTATTCATGTCTCCTGTTGCTGCAGATCTTCTGTTATTTTGTGGTCATCCTTCAGATGCCTCACAGTAGTCCATCTTTAAATCAAACCAGTCACAGCCTTCCCAACCTTTTCTTCCAATGGAAGTGTTACTGTTTCCGAGTTTTGGCGAAAACATCTTAGGTATCTCGTCCTCTCTTTTTCACAACAGATGAATGAAGTGTTCGTCTTTGTATGAAAAACTACAGTGCCTTCACTGTATCTTCTTTGAATGCAATTCAAAGTAAGACTCTGTGACTGAAATACAGGGGAGACACCAAGACTTGTTTAACTTTACTGAACATCTTTCAAGTTGTTTTACGTTTGTTTATATTCCCACATTTAAAAAAGTGAGTTTTTTCACGGGGTAAGGGTTTGTTGTCAATTAGAATTATTTGCAGTGCTGCAGTACATACTGGGACTGCTTTTATTACTGCCTATAGATAAATCATGTCTTTATAAATAGTACTTCACTTCATAAACTTTTTAAATCAGCTTTAGTTTCCATACGAGAAAGAACTGACATCTCGGATTCTTCACTTTCGGTGCTGCACTTGTGTTGACACGTCATGGTTGTGAGTGTGGGATCCTTACCCGATCTGGTCAACTAATTTTGGGTACTCTTACCAATATCGACAGAGAAATTCCGGACAGATTCAATGAGTTCTATAATCAAAGAAAATGGAATTTTTATCACTTCTTTTCCATTTATCTCCTCTCAGGATTCTCCTCTTGATCAATATTTTTTTCCCAAGTTTTCCACGTAATATCTCATAATTTTTGTTTTATAATTCTATTTTTAGATATTTGAATTATTTTTAGCTGAATCTTTGCACCCGTATTCATACCTTGATCCATATCCTCGAATCTTAAAATTTAAATCATGAAGTATCCGACCTCTCAGGGGCGGCTCAACGTAATTGGGGGCCTAAAGCGAATTTCAATTTGCGGCCTAAAATATAAATACACTTCATATGCGTATTTATTCAAAAAAAAAAAAACACTATTAAGATGAAAATTATTAGTACTTAATATTGTTTTTTGAGTTACTAGTTTTAGGTAAGATTTTATCAACTCAACATTGAAAAACATCTTTTAAGTGAGACAATTATTATATGTATTGTTAACATAATGATATAAGTAATAAGTTGATAAATATTAAATAAAGATAAGAGTTAGAAGTTTAGAATCATAGAATTTAACTCAAAAAGTTGATGACTTGGTATACCTCATTTTAATATGCTTAGAGTAATGCTTGAAACTAAAATTTAAAAAGAAATAAAAAATAATTTGTAATTCACTTTGTTCAACACTTTTCACTGTTAATTCTTATTTTTAACAAAGTACAAAAGATGTTAAAGTGGATAAAATGATTTATTTTTTAAAAAAATTATACTTTAATTTTTCTATAAAAATTTTAACACATAATTTATTCTTGACAAAAATTTGGGGCCCCCGAAATTTTGGGGCCTAAGGCAAAGGCCTTATTTTTGAAAGCATAGAGCCGGCCCTGCGACCTCTAGATGCATACCCGTGACCTCTAGCATGTAGAGGAAGAGAGCATTTTGTGATAGTCCTGAAGCTTTAATTTTGTCTTAGTTGTAGTTTTCATTTTAATTTTCTTTTTTGTTTTGGCCTTCAGGTACTGAGAGTTGAAGTTTGATATCCAACAGTTGTAAATATGTTGCTCTTATTTAATTTAGTGTTTTCTCCAATCTATATATTTGTAAACTGAAATGAGAATAAGGTGGAACAAATCTGACAATTTGTATTTCCACCAGTCAATTTACTCTTCTCTTGTTTGTGTACACAAATGTAATTCAAAGGGCTTCTCAACATTCAATGTACAGAGGAAAGTAAGGCATTCGAATATCATTTTTCGGTGAACGTGTTATGATTTTAGTCTCTACTTGTAAGATAGCTTTTGTTCATAATTTTTTTAAATATCTTTTTTGTGAAGTTTGACCATAGATTTTGGAGAAATATTTGAATTCTTAAAGAAATATGATTTATATTCCATAAGTTTAAAAAATTATTAAAAATATTTACTATCATTATATAATGAACATGTTCCGTGAAAAGTTATGATAGCAAACAAAATTAAAATAAATTTGAAGAAAAAGGAAGAAAACTATATAAAATATGTGTTTAACTGTATAAATTTTGTACAATGAAACTAGGATTAAAAGTCTATCCAAAACTATAAATGATGGGTGTGTTTACAAGTTTGAGGTAATTTTAAGTTTTTAAAAGTTTCTAAATAGTAGAATTTAACTAAATATTACTAATTTTTTCTAGTATTTGAGAATTTGAATTACTTGGTAAAAATACTTATCAAGTTTTTTCTCAAATATTTTTGGGAATATGGAAAGTGTTTTAATTAATGTTTTAGAAAGGAAACATATACGTGGTCAAATCTCTGAAATAAATTTGATCTTTTTAATGATGTGCAATATTAAATCTATGAATTAAATTTATTTACAAAGAAGCAAAATAGTAACGAAGAAAAAATAGAGAATGTCGTGAAGGATAGAGGGAGGTGTTGGCAAATTCCGGAGAAAAGACAGAAAGAGAAAAGGGAGAAAGAATAAGGGTGTGTTTGGTACGAAGGAAAATGTTTTTCTTGGAAAATAAGTAGATTTTTGACTTATTTTCTCAAGTTTGGTTGGTGAGTAGAAAATATTTTTCGAAAAAGATTTTTTAATGTTTGATTTATGAATGAAAAATATTTTTGAGAAAGTATCTTTTATTTTTACTAGAGAGTAGAAAATAATTTTTCAAAAACAAACATTATTTTTATTTTATTGTTTTGGGGTGGGGGGATGGCCGCGGGGGGGGGTAGGGGTGATGGTGGGTAGAACCGTCAAAATGGGCTTGGCCCGCGAGGCCGGCCCAATCAACCCTTGAATTAAGTGGGGTAGGACTTAATTTTTTTGGCCCATTTAGGAACGAGGCTTTTTAGCCCAGTCTCGTTTGGCCCGCTGGCCTCGTAGGCCCAACCCGCAAGCCTTAGAGGCCAGCCCGTGGGCTATTAATTTTTAAAAATATTTTATATATATATTTTTAGTAGTGTTTTATTTGTAAAGATTTTATCAATAAATATTTTGAAAAATAAAAAATCAAGTCTTTTGCAAGTCTTTTACATTTTAGGCCATGAGCCCACAAATTATTTTTAATTGGCCAAGCCCATTACTTTATTAGGGTTTTGACTTTTGATTCATTTTATTATAAGTAAATAACCATATATATTCTCTTTGTCTTTTAGCTTAGCAACTTTCTCTTTCATTTTAGGCATGACATTAGGGTTTTGAAGTATTAGAGTTTTCAAGTTCATTCGAAGTTCAGTTTCCAGATCGGTATTGATGATTGATACATGAATACAATCATACAAGTATGAATCTATCATTTTTTCGATTTGTTTCTTCTCCAAAATGAGTTGAACTTCGTCTTAACTCTTAATCATGTTCATCTTTTGTGATAGTTTCATATATAACATATTTTTCTTAATTATTTTCGTAGTGTATGATATCATGTGTATTAGTTGTGTTTTCCTAATGAGTAATCAGAAAAGTTAGTTTCTCTATATGTTCATTTTGAAGTCTGAAACTAACTTTTGACATATTTAACGCATACAGAGAAATCAATGGGGGATGATGATGAATGTAGTGCACATGAAACTAGTGTAGGGGTGAATGAATCTAAAGAATCTCCACAGAAGAAATTGAGGCAGTTAAAATCATCTGTTTGGAGGTATTTCAAGAAGATTAGTAGAGATAAAAATGGAGTGGAAAAAGCAATATGCAGAGGTTGTAAGGAACCATATAGGGTTGGTTCTACTCCTGGACCTAATGGTAAGAACTATGAAACATCACATTTGAAAGGTCATTTAATTAAATGTAAAAAGGTTAAGTTCTCTGATTTGGGTCAAATGCATATGGATCAGCAAGGTAACATACAGTCGAGAAAGATCGATCAATTGATTTCCCGTGAAAAGTTTGTTGAAGCTATTATTGAGCATGATCTGCCGTATTCTTTTGTTGAATATAAAAAATTAGAGCTTGGGCAGATTATGTAAATCTAGAATTGGTAATGCCATCAAGGAACACTTCTGTTGTGGATGTCCAAAAAGTGTATTTCAGAGAGAGAGAAAAATTAAAACAAGTGTTGGCAAAGATTCCTAATCGAGTTTGCTTAACTTCTGATTGCTGGACAGCAGGTACTTTTGAAGGATATCTTTGTTTAATTGCTCAATATATTGATGATAATTGAAAGGTAGTAAATAAAATTTTGAACTTTTGCCTTATGATTCGTCCTCATACTGGAGTTGAATTGGCTACAACTATATATGATTGTTTGAAAGAGTGGGGAATCGATAGGAAGGTGTTCTCTATCACTTTAGATAATGCCACTAACAATGATAGCATGCAAACTATTTTAAAAGGTCATCTTGGTTTGCAAAAGAGTTTGTTATGTGATGGTGAGTTCTTTCATGTACGTTGTTCTGCTCATATTCTAAATTTGATTGTCCAAGAAGGTTTAAAAACAACTAATGATGTCTTGTTTAGAATTAGAGAAAGTGTGAAGTATGTTAAAGGATCAGATGGTAGAATGAGAAAGTTTGAGCAATGTGTTAAGCAAGTTGGAATTAATACAAATTTGGGTTTATGTTTGGATGTGACAACTAGATGGAACTCAACATATTTGATGCTTGAGAGTGCACTACAATATGAAAAAGCTTTTTCTAATCTACAGTTAATTGATAGAAATTACTCAAGTTGTCCTACATCTGATCATTGGAGAAGGGCAGAAAAAATATTTGGATTCTTGGTGCCTTTTTATGAAATAGCAACCTTAATTTTTGGTTCAAGTTATCCAACTTTCAATTTGTACTTTATGCAAGTTTGGAAAATTGAATGCTTGCTGAAGGAGAATTCAAGTAATTTAGATGAAGTTATTATGGAAATGGCTATAAGAATGTTCAATAAGTTTCAGAAATATTGGAATAGATATAGTTTGGTACTCACATTTGGAGCAATTTTGGATCTTCGCTTCAAGATGCAACTTTTAGAATATTGTTTCTCAAAGGTGAACTATTCTTTGGCAAAAGCGCAGGCTACAACTATAAAGTTAAAATTATACAAGCTCTATGAACAATATGCAAATAATCAAATAGGGGCAACTGCTCCTACTACTTGGTCCAAACCAATTGAAGAAGGAAGTCAATCCAAACAAAAGAAGTCTACTTTGTTTGCGGTAAGTATCTAATTTTTTATCTCTAAATCATTATGTATCTTTTCTTAAAAACACTTTTATTCTCGATGGGTTGTGATTAAAAGCACTTGCACATTTTAGAACTAATTTTGTTTACTTGATGGTTTTTGTAGTTCTATTTAGTGTGTAGTTAGATAAAAATGAGTTACCTTTCACTATTTTATTTGAAGTTAAAATCAGTTATGAGTTACCTTTCACTATTTTATTTGAAGTTAAAATCAGTTTAGAGTTACCTTTCACTATTTTATTTAAAGTTAAAATCAGTGTAGAGTTACCTTTCACTATTTTATTTGAAGTTAAAGTCAGTTTAGAGATACTTTTCTCTATTTTATTTGAAGTTAAAATCAGTTTACTTTTTTACTTGCTATGATGGGGTTCGTCTTCTTATCGTTAGTATATTTCATGTTTCAAATTAATAGGAATTTAAAGAGTTTGAGGGTACATCAGTTTGCATTGCTGGAAAGTCAGAATTGGACCTTTATTTGGAGGAAAAAAAGCTAGATTATCAGACTTTTCATGAGATGGATGTTATTAAGTATTGGAAGGATAATGAAAAAAATATCCTGATCTTTCGGTAATGGCACGAGATGTCCTCAGTGTTTCAATTACCACCGTAGCATCTGAATCGGCATTTAGTATAGGTGGTCGTGTTGCTACCAAATATAGAAATTCTATCTATCATGAAAATGTTCAAACTCTTGTCACTACCAGAATTTGGTTGCATGGATTTACTCAACCTAATGAGGGTAATATTTTTCTATCTAATCTATTAATATATCACTCTTTTTCTGAAAGTATTTGTTAATGAATATCTAACTAACATCTTGTATGGTGAATTGTAGATGAAGATGAACTTCTTAAGGAAACAATATCACAAGTTGATTCAAATGTGATCTATGGTACAAGTGGTAGCGGAGTCGTGAAACTTTGATTAATGGGTCATGTAATAATTAGCAATTTAGATTTGTTAAGTATTTGGGCTGCCTTGTGTTGCTGGAAATCTTTTAAACCAGCTAGTTTTTTGTGGGAGGAATGGTGGAATGATCAACATTTATCTGCTAAATCTTACGTTGGCTATTATGTATTTTTGTAAGTATTCACCGAAGTGTGTGATTTATAAATGAATTTTTGTATGTATTAATGTCGTGTTCATAGACGTCAACGTTCGATACTCTTTCTAAGAGTGCAATATTGTTCATATTTTGGTTGAAGGGCAACCCGTCCCAACCCGTGGCCCGCTTAGGGCTGGGTTGGGCTGCTATTTTATCGACCCTTTAATTAAAAGGGCCAGTCCGTCCTAGCCCATTTAACTCCCTAGCCCGTTAGGGTTGGGTTGGGCCAGCCCATTTTGATAGCTCTAAGGGTGGGGTAAAAAAAAATAAAAAAATTCAAGTTGAAATTTTTTTTAAAAAATAAGTTTTAAATTTATTTTTTAACAAAAAAATTGATCTTTTCAACAAAATAAATTGTAATATGAGGTTGGAGGAAAGTTTTGGAAAATGTTTTCCTCAATTTTTGAAGGGAAGTCATTTTCCTTAAATTTGAGAAAAATGAGTTGATTTGGAAAACATTCAACCCAACCAAACATGAGAAAATTGAAAAGCAATGTTTTCCTTCATACCAAACACACCCTAAGAACGACAAAATCTAGAAGGAAAAAACAAAATTTAAAGAAAGGAAAAATTATTTGGGTGAGTACATTTTGATAAATATTTATGATTTTAGTGATACTTTTTATTTACTACAATTTATAGCAATATATAGTAATACTATGATAAAATTGTACTATGTATTAAAAGTGAATAATAATGTAATATAAATGTATTGTAAGTGTTTTAAAATATATTATGCTTGTTTGGTAAGAAATTGACACAATGTTATTATAAGTGTATTAAAATGTGTGATAAATGTATTATTCATCAATAAAACTTGTATCATATGTATTTTATAAATTATTCTCTGTGATATGTATTAAAACCATATTATAAATAGATTATGAATGTCCAAATAATAAAATTATTATTACTATAAATGGTAAATAATTTCTTAATAGATATCATATTTATGCATTCTTTCTTTTAAAGAAAATATAATTAGAAGTATAATAAATTGCAGGAAATCTTTAATAAGTTAGTTGATTAATTTATCTAAACTTTCATCTTGTTGATGAGGATTCGATTTCGTGCTTTAGGGCGTGTTTGGTATGAAGGAAAATGTTTTATAAGAAAATGTTTTCATGGAAAACAAGTAGATTTCTGACTTATTTTATGTTTGGCTGGTGAATAGAAAATATTTTCTGAAAAATATTATTTAATGTTTGGTTTATGAATGAAAAATATTTTTGAGAAAATATCTTTTATTTTTGCTAGAGAGTAGAAAATAAATTTTGACTCGAAAACCGACCACAATATTGGATTTAGGACGTGACCCCGACACACGAACTAGAACACAACTCTGGCGACAGATCTGAAATCTGACCCTGAGATCTGACCAGGACTTGACCCCAACTTTCGACGCGAGAACATTTGAATTGGGATGGGAGATCTGACCCCGAACCTAACCCCGACACCTGAACTTGAACACGATCCATCAATTTGGATTTTGACTTCGACACTCGAAATTTGGAATTGAAAGTATTTTTAGGGGGGGGGGGGTCGAGGGTAGGGCTGAGTGGGGTAAAAAAAATTGAAAATATATTTTAAAAGCAAATTTTGATTTTTTTTGGGGTGGGGGTAAACACAAATATTTGAAATTGAAAATATTTTTTAAAAATAAACTTAATTTTTTTGGGGGGGGGGGTGGGGGAGGGCGGGGTAAAAAAAATAAAAATAAAAAATATTTTTTAAAAACAAACTTTAACTTTTTTTTACTCCCTTTGTCTCAATTTATATGACTCCCTTTGTCTCAATTTATACTTACTTTCCTTTTTAGTCAATCCCAAAACGAATGACACATTTCTATATTAAGTAACACTTTAACTATAAAACGTCTATTTTACCTTTAATGAAATGATTTATAACCACACAAATTTCTATCATTCATTTTAGACCACAAGTTTTAAAGGTCTTCCTTTCTTTATTAAACTCCATGCCGAGTCAAACTTCCTCACATAAAATGTGACGGAGGGAGTATTTTTTTTGGGGTGGCGGGGTTGGTTGGTAGGGGGATTGGGTTGGTGTAGGTTAAAGAGAATGAAAACTTACAATTTTTTTGTGTGGGGGACGGGGTAGGGATAGTCAGGGGTTGGATGGGGATATAAAAAAAATCAAAAATTTTGAAATTTGATTTATTTTTCAAAAATAAAATTTTAATTTGTTTTTTTTATTGGTTGGGGGGAGGGGCTGGATTGGGGGTAGGGGGCCGAGGTAGGAACAAAATAAATTGATTTTTTCAAAAAAAATTTTATTTTTTAAAATTTGTTTTAATGGATAGGATCGGAGTATGAGGTGGGGTAAGGAAAAAAAATTGTAATTTGAAGTTGGTGGAGAGTTTTGAAAAATGTTTTCCTTAAGTTTTGAAGGGAAGACATTTTCCTTTAATTTGAGGAGGATGAGTTTATTTAGAAAATATTTTTCAACACATTTAACACAACCAAATGTGAGAAAATTGAAAAATGTTTTCCTTAATACCAAACACACCCTTAGGGGCCGCTTGGTTACTGGTTAGAGTTATGCAGGTATTAGTTATACAGGGTTTAGTTATGTAGATATTAGTTATGCATGGTTTAGTTATGCAGGTATTAATTATGTAGGGTTTAGTTATGCAGGTATTAGTTATGCAGGATTTAATTATGCGGGTATTAGCTATGTGGATATTAGTTATGTAGGTATTATTTAGTTATGTAGAGATTTCAATACATAAATTATTAACTATTATATTAAACTTGTAGTAAATTATTAATATATATTATTTACAAAATAATAATACATCCTAATAAAATGTGGAATATATTGAATAATATACAATGCTAATATTTTTATTTTATTTTAATCAACATTGGACCATGTCCATTTATTCATCAAATAAAAATGTGTCCAAACAAGGTCCAAGAGTGACCAAGTCGGTCAACAAAATAGACAAAACAAAAACAACTAAACTGAAAAATAATCTAATTTGGAAACAAAAAAATCCTAAACTGATAGAACAACTCCAGCATAATGCTAATATTTGATTAGCATATGTACCGTCAAAAAATATACAATCAAATCTCTAATATTAAAAAAATATTTATATTTGCATAAATAAATTAAAATGGTAAATATATAAAAAAATGAAAATAGTCTATATATAAAAAGAAATAAAAACAACAAACGTAGATAGGAAAACAATAAAGTTTCTAATTAAAAAATATAATATAAATTAAAAGAAATGAAAATGATCTATATATAAAAAGAAATAAAAACAACAAACGTATATAGGAAACAGTAAAGTTTTCAATTAAAAAAAATAAAATAAATTAATAGGGTAAATATGTAATTTATCATTTTAATACATGTATAACTAATACCCACATAATTTATTCCACCTTCTACCCTGCATAACTTTATACATAAATTCCCTCATAAGTTATGTTGGTATTAATTATGTAGGACTACAAAAAATGCAACCAAACACCGTATAAATTAATATATGAATAACTTTTATACAACATTTAAATTCTTACGAACCAAACATGGTATAAGTTATGTTGACTTTTATACCTAATACAAAACTTCTACCAAACACAGCAAAGCTAATGCAACTTTTTATACATGAATAAGATGTCTCTTATACAGTAACCAAACGACCCCTTAATGTTCCCAATTTCTTATCTAATCAGCAAATGACAGGTCTAGTTTGGACCATTTTAGTGTAATTTTTCCTTTCAATAACATTTTCTTCAAGTCACATGATCCTTTAAGAGAATATTAGAGCCTATTTGTCATTGTTGTTGGGAGGCCAGAAACACTTGTTTTGAGGAAAAAAACATTTCTATTTTAAAATAAAGTGTTTATCAAATCAGTAAAAATGCTTCTAAATGGAAGCAGAAACAATTTTTCTATTGTTGGGAAGAAGCTAAAGATATCTGCTTCTTAAAAAAAGCAGAAGCAAAAACAAAAATAATTTTTCTAAAAACTATAATATCCCTATATATATATATAATAAATTTTATATTTTATTTTACTTTTATATATTATTATTTTATATATTACATAGTATTTTGCAGAATGTATTAAAATGATAATAACGCTATTTTTGCAATATTAGAAAAACGAAAAAAAAAATAACAACTAAAGATTTCAGCCCTCCCAAAAAAGGTATAATACTGATTGAAAATTTAAATATGTACATTTTAATTCACTCGGGAGCCACCAAGATGTACCGTGACTTGCGGGAGGTCTATTGGTGGAATGAGATGAAGAAGGATATAGCGGGATTTATGGTTATGTTTCCTAATTGTCAACAAGTGAGAGATTAGCATCAAAAGCCAAGAGGTTTGTCCCAAGATATTAACATTCCTACTTGGAAGTGAGAAGATTTGAACATGAACTTTTTTGTTCATTTACCCTACACCATGTGACAACATGATTCGATTATG